GGAGGGGGTGAAGGGAGTGCAAGGAATGGGGAAAAAATAAGAACCAAGATACATCATGTAAAGGTACAAGTTCCCAATGAGAAATGTAAATGTATTGTATACCTAAAATGTACCAATAAAAGAATTTAAGAAAACAAAAATTCAGGCTCAGTATATTTTACTACATTTTATTCTCTTATTAACTATAAATCTTTTCTCTTATGACCTTCTTCAGAGTTAAATACATTTTTAACTTATAAAAGTCCACATTCAAGTTATATCATTTCAAATAATGTATAACAAATATTATAATAGTATACTTTCATTTCCCCCTTCCTACCTTTGTGCTATTGTTGTGATTTATTTTACCTTTACATGTTATGAACTCCACACTAATTATTCTTAAACAATAAAATATCTTTTGAATAAATTTAGAAAATAAGAAACAAATCTTACATATTTACTCATGTAGCTACCATTTCAGTGCTGCTTTGCATGTTTGATTTTTTTCATTGGCTAACAGACATTTCAACAAGTTCTGACTACTAGACATATTTTTATAGCTATAAATATTTTTAAACTTTGTTTCAGATGCAATTAAAGTTACCTGGAAAAGTTTGATTCTTTTGCTTCTTACTTTTATGATTTGTCAAGATTAAAACAGTGCTCAGTCTTGGGATAATTATTCTACACTACTGAGGCAATTATTCCAAATGCCACACTATCATACTATATATCCAATTCCACTCTATCCAATTCCTTATCAGTCATAAAATTGTACATTCTTTTGGGTAGGTCAACTTTTACCTGGCCTTGGGCAGTTTTCTCACATGTATACACATATTAGTACATAGGTGCTCAAATGTGATCCTCTGAAGATCTCTGGAGTTCTCTCTGTGTTCAGTAATCCTTCCTTTGGCAATGTGTCTTGTGGTCTCAGTCTCTTCAGGCTTAAAGCTGCCTTTATTCAAGTTGGGTAGTTCAATAGACTGTGCCTAGATTCCCATACTTTGCACCACAGCATGGACATTCTCTCAAAGTTGTAAGATTGAGCCACTTTGGGGCTCATCTCATTGTTTCTCATCTCTGAGGTATTGCTATACTTTGTTGTGTGATTCTCAAAATATCTACCTGTTGGTTGTATTAGACAAAAAGGTAATATGGTCATTCTATCTTTCCTGGAAGCATAATTTTCAAACTACTTCTTAAGAAAAAGAAAGGCTGACTCAGGGCTAACGGACAGAGAGGAAAGAGCCACAGAATCTTCTCAAAAATCAAGACTGAGGAGGCAACCCACTTTCCAGACCTCCTTCTGTCTCTCTTAGACAGAAGCTTTCTTTTTTTCAATTAATTCTTTCTACTCTTAACAACAACAAAAAGTAAGAAGCAAGACTGAGGCCCACTATCAAGAAACTGTTAATATTTATTCAATTTTAGAATTAATAAACAGTAACTGTTTTTCTTCCTCTCCACTGATTATATCTACTGCAGTTAATGTAGGTTTCTCTCACTATTGTACATATGGCTGTATATGTGTGGAGGGATGTGGATTATTTGTCTCTTAAAAACACATGTCTTCAGATTGAATGGAAAAGCACTTGAACAGCTTCAACACCATCTGAACTTGATGAGTCCCTGAATCTCAAGCCTAAGCCTAAAAGCCCTAATGACATGAAGATTTCTTAGGCAGATTTGAATATATTCTTCACGTGGGAAAAATATAAATTTGTGGACAGAGGGTAGACTACAATGAATTAGAAACAGAAAAATTATTTCATATTTCTCTGATCAAAAGGAAAGATTATGATCCTTCTTCTTGAATGTGGGTGGACTCTAAGACAACTTTCACAAATAGAATGCACCAAAAGTGAAGGTGCACCAGTATCTGGGCCCAATCCTTATGAGATAGGCATGTTCTATGTATTATTTCCTGGAACTGTCCTTTAGAAGGGTTGCTCTGAGAGAAGATAAAGTCCAACTACCATGAAATTACTATTCCTGGATCCCAGCAAGTCCCTAGCTGTTTTAGTCATTCCAGCCCAGGCATTAGACATGTAAGTGAAGGAGCCACTTTGAATATTACAGACCTAGGACATACCATATGAAGAACAGAGGCTCTCAACTTACAGCTCCAGTTATCTCAACATGTTTGAATCACTTTAGTCAAGGCCCCAGACATCAAGAAACAGGCAAATCATCCAACTGAGCCCTGATCAAACTGTCTGACCTACAAAACCGTGAGTTAAGAAAGTGGTTATTACTACAAACTACTAAGTTGTAGGGAAATTTGTTATACAGCAATAAACAACTGGAAAAGAAAGAAAATTAGGAGCTTGGTTTGGATGTGTCTATTATAGATAGCAGTACAGATACAGTAGAGATATCAAATTGGTTTTCGATATACAAATTCAGGGACAAAGTTCAGAGTAAGGATATACATTTACAAGACATGTTTCTAGGCCTGTTCTACTTTATCTTTTTCTCAGTATGCAGCACTCTGGCATTTTCTAGAAAATTTGTTTATTTTATCTATTTGCTGTCTGTCTTCTGATACAATGTAAATCCTCAGAGACAAGGACTTTAGTTTATTCACTAATGTATCCCTGTTATGATTTTTGTCTAGATGTCCCCTCAAAGCCTCATGTGGTCATAGGCTATTTTGGAAGTGGCTAAATTGAGAGTGTGTGAATGATTCATGGTGGGGCTAGGCCAGAGGGCACTAGGATTAAGGGTGTGAGTGCTACCTGCCTTAAGTAGTTCTGAATAAAATAAAAGAGGCAGAAAGACACTGTTAAGGTCCCTTGTTGCTTTTGCTGTCTTCCACTGCCATGAACTGTTCTGTTGCCCCTCTGCCACCCTGCCTTGGAGCCAGCTGATTATGGACAGAAACCTCTACAAACTATAAGCCAAATAAACCTTTTCCTCTTTAACTCTGAATGTCAGGTATTTTGTCTTAGCAAGGAGAGAAAAGTAACTAAGACAATCCCCTATATGTAAAACAGTGACAGGCATACTGAAAGACCCTCAAGTACTTTTTAAATAAGCCAATTTAAGTGTTATCTAAGACCAAGACAGTGTTCTACAAGCAAATTAAGGAAAATATTTCAAAAAGAAGAGGTGAACAAATACGCCAGTTATATGTTGACAGGTTTGGTAAGATGAGCACTGAGCATTGATCACTGAATTTGCCAATGGAAAGGTCGGTGATGACATTCACCTGAACAGTGTGGTAGGAGGTACCAGGATGACGTCTAATTGCTGAGACCAGGAAGATGAAGGAAAGGAAACAGACACATTAAAAATGAGTTTTGTTGTCAACTGGAGAAATGGCTACAGAGGAATGTGATGCAGGGTTTGTTGTGAAAACATAATAGAGTGTTTTGTATGCTAATAATCTTGTAAAAAGAAAGAAAAAAATAATGGGGGCAACTGAGTAAGTAAAAAAGGATGAAATTCAGTTCATAAATAAGTGGATTGGCTCGAGATAAGAACAACAAAATAATATATCTACAGTTAGCAAGAGGAAAAGTAGACCACATGGGTATAAATGCAGGTAAACTGACAGATGTGGCAGAAATTCCCTTTTGTTTGCTTCTATTCTCTCAGTAATATGGGAAGATCATAATGAAGAAAGGGGGTGTAAAACAATCCAGCACGATACTCAAATATACCTGGTATGTTATCTCACATTAGAAAAAGGATCAAGATGCAATATGTACATGTAGCAACACCCCCTAAAGAATATATTCATTATGTATCACATATATGTAATAATAAAAAATTTAGAATGTATGATATTATGCTATAATTATTTAGGTACATGTCTTTCTCTACTAAAATATAAAATTATTTAAGATCAAAAGTACTTTTAATTTTTTCACTGCCAGCATGTGACATAGTGCTCTACAATCAAATGTTTTGTTAACTTATTGACTAAATAAGTGAATATTACAGATTCCTTTAAGACACTGAAACAAAGCCAAGAGTTTGAAAACATCAATAAATAATACTATCAAGCTTCTATATGATATATATGTATACACACATATATATACTCAAATACCATTTTAAACATTGAAAATCAAAACCCATTAAATTTTAACTTATTTGTGAAATAAAAATACATTTCTTTTTTTAACACAGTAAGACTATAATGAGATGCTGATATTAAAAATGAATGTTTAGAGTTATGAGTTACTCTGGAATATCCTTCACACTGACTCTTAAGCTTTCAACATTTCATGACAAAATATTTATGTGCAGCTTCCTAACAACTAACATGTTGAAAAAGAGTTACCACAACCATATCTTCCACATAAAGAAAAAAAGAGGCACACTCTCATATTATAGCCATATTTTGTAAGTATGGGGCTTTGTCCAACACTAAATATTGAAAACAACAAAAATTAAGTACCTAAAATCAAATAGACAAGGGGGGTGGCTGGGAGAGATGAAAAGTATGTGCATGTACAAATCTGCCAAAATGAAACCTATCAATCTGTACAACCAATTTTAAAAAGTGAAAATAAATCAAGTAGTGGTCAAGAGACATGCTCCTAACATTTAGAATACTCTCATTATTTAAGATTTTGTAGTAATCAATATAAACCAATAATAATGATTTGGCTACAAATTTTAACTTTCAAACAAACCCCCAAACAACTGTGTGTTATGCAGAATTGTTTGTTGTTTTTTTTGGTACTGGGGATCGAACTCCAGACCTTGTGCTTGTGAGGCAGGTGGCAGAACCACTGAGCTAAACCCCTGGCCTAGAACAATTGTTTTTAAAAATCACTAAAACTCAAAGAATATGTAAAACTCCAGAAATAAAAATAAATTTGAATTGTGACTGTCATATTTTTATTTCCACTTAATTCTTTAATATTCTTGGGATATTCTTTTTCCTTTAACAGAGCAAACAGTAGTGATATTACATGCTACTGGTAGAAAATTAGGAGCTCTTGTACACAATTCTTTAAAAATGAATTTCAATTATTATTGAATATATAATCTTATTCTAAAAAATACAAAGAAGCCAAGCAATAAACTTAACTACCTTAAAGCAGGCCCAATTTGCTAGGCTTCCCAGCTATCCTTCCAGAAAACACTTCTCTAGATTAACTTATTTAGAACATCAACAAGCAGGTACAGAACAGGAATGTGAGTAGGTCATCCAGTAAATTAGCTGTTACTCTATGGTCACTAAAATGAAGTCTACAGAAGGTGAGGGAAAAGAACAACACAATTCAACAGTGCCTGGGTGTCAGAGACCCAGAGCAGCCTGCTGTGGTTACTTTTTTCCCTATGACCTGAGGCTCGACTGTCTAGTGAGATGCAGTGGAAATTAAACTGAAAAAAAACATCTGAAGAGGAAATTAAAAATGAGAGTTACATGTCAACATTTTTTACTTTTGGTGAAGTCATATGGTTTCCACCACTGAGCAAACTGCAGTGCTTTCTTCCTCTGATCCTCAAAGCTTTCTCGGATGCCCTTCCGCCAAAGTCTTGGTTCTAGATCCAACATCCCACCAATGATTTCCTTTTAAAGAATGAGAAAAATACAAACACATGTGTGTGCAAATAATAATGAATGAGGAATAAAACTGTTTATTCTGTTATGAAATATAACATTAAGTAGCTCACCATGATAATGTTCAAATGTTACACAAATATTACTTTCTGGTAAAAAAAAAAATCTTGTTTTCAATTAATTACAACTACATAAACCCAGTAATTCTTAAGAGTCCTAACTGTGTCTCCTGTTAAGCAAACTGCCCATTTTGTTGCTTGTTAGCACATCTATCACATGGTAGGAAAAGAGAAGAAGAAAAGGTGAAATTTAATTAATTATTGGCTGCTCTAGTAAACAGTTTGGAGAAAAGTTAATCAACTTTAGCAATTAACTTTGTTGGTCAACTGCTGCTGAATCTCAGGTTAATGTTCTCTCTGCTGCCCATTATATTTATAAATCTGTTTCTTCCAATACTAACTAAAGTTATTTTTCAGGAAACAAAATCATTTTAATATTAATCAAAGCAAATCTAGAATTTAAAACTATAAATCATTTTCACTAAGAGGTCACATTCTCAAGCTCTGAAAGGAATGGCTTTTTGATTCTCTGCTTATTATTCTAGACTATTTCTTTCATGATTCTCCTCCAGTGGTACTGGCTATAGAAATTAATCAAAATTTTCCATGTTAGTATCCATGTACAGAAAGATATGGGGGAGACTTACAATGCTTACACAGAAGGCTGTTGGTAACTGTGGCAAGTACGGTAGAAAACACTGGACTAAGGGTCACATTCTGCATACACAGTCTAGTTCTGCTGAACTGTGATGAGATCTTAGACAAATAACATCACTCTCTCTCTCTAAAACACTGGTTCCTCATCTGAATAAATATATCACAAGGACTTACTATCTACAGGGGATACAAAAATAACTAATATACAGCTACCTTGTTTTCAGAGAGCTTATGAAAGAATAGAAAGCTGTGGTGGGAAAAAATTCTATTTGCTGAATACATCAAGAAAATATTCAAGAAAAAGGGAAGATTCCCTACCATTAGGAGAAGGAGTAAAAGGCCAAAAGAGATAACAGCTTGTATAAAATATCAAGATCAAGAAAAATGGAACAAATTTACATTTAATTAGTTTCTTGATTCAACTAAGAAAAGTAATTTACCAGAAATTTATCTCTATAAAACATCAAGCTTCATTATATGTAACATACAGGATGGGTTCTGGTTTGGTTACTAATGTAGTTGTTAATAAAAAGAGACTATCCCAATAATCTCTTCTTGCTATCTGAACTACTGCTTTGGTAAGAGACAGACAGGAGTTCTTGGGCCCATAAGCTATGTCTTGAAAATTAAATTTTGAAGAAAATGCTTCAGTGGTACAATGCTAACTGAAGAAATGTTCCTTTGAATTTTAAAACAGTACCATATAATCCCTAATAATGTAATCCCTAATGCGTAATATCTAAAGAGCAATCTCCCAACTGAATTTCGATGCGTAAAAAAATGGATGATTTACCTCCTCTTTACTAGACTCAAAAAATTTTAATATATCTAGATTTATAGAGCCTTTAGTTATAAAGCTCTATGGAATAACAACAGGACTTTTTAGAACAGGGAAAACAAATTTCTCTCTAACTCTAAAACAAAATTCTGAAAATGTCTAAAACAAGTTCCTATAATATATTACAACAGTTTGGAGATGCATGCAATTTTGGACTCTGGTTAGCCATTAAAGACAACAACATACTTAGTACTGAATCAAAACCTCTGCCATTCAAATTACTCTTGACCTCCCTATTCATTGCAGAACATGGTCTTATGCAAGAGATGGGAGTGGGGAGGAAATACACTGGGGCAAAGAGAGCACTGAGCAGAGTTCATCAAGACCCCTCTACATATAGAGAAATGGTATGAGCAAAAACAGTCTGATTCAAAGATTCAAAGATTAGATTCAAAGATTAGATTAAAAGATAACGCCCAGCCTTCCTCTGGCTGTTTCAGCTGCAATATTAACTTATAACTCAGCAGTCCTTTAAAGACTGTACCTTAAGAAGGCAACCTCTGAAAGAAAGAACTGGCAATGAAAAGATCTGGCCTCTACTATCTGCTGAGAAACTATGTAATGTGTCATATATATTCTTCCTGAACTATATCTTGCTTAACTATACATGAAGAGGTGAGATAATTTGTTCTCTAGTTCTCTAGTTTGACCACGACCATTGGTACCCCTGGTTCTGTCACTTAGCACATGACCCTGGGCAAGTTACCCAATTTCTCTGTAGCTGTTTCTCCATCTTTAAACAAAAGTTGCAATAATATCAATACTACAGAGTTACTGCAAGCATTAAATGAGTGCTTATAACAGCAGCAGACACACTGCAAGCCTTTAATAAATATTAGCAATTTCCATCATCTCAAGATAACAATGGCTGACTCCAAAATGAAACTAATGTTATAGTAACTGTTGACTCTAAAGAAATACTTGCTTCCAAATGAATTTTTCTGACTCTATTACCAGTATTATTTGATATATTTGTTAATACTTTCTAGATGTTATCTCTAACAATTGAGCATAGCAGTAGTCTCTTATCTCACTGTACAGAATGGTCAAGATTTTGACTTTGCTTCCAAAGAAATGTGATTTAACAGCCAGGCATGATAGTGCATACCTATAATGCCGGTACTCATGAGGCTGAGGCTGAGTCAGAAGCATCACCACAAGTTCAGAGCCAGCCTGGCATTTCAAGGCCAGCCTGAACTACATAGCAAGACCCTATCTCAAAAATAAACACACAAGGGCTGGGGATTTAGCTCAGTGGTTCCTGTGCCTGCTTCTCAAGCACAAGGTCCCAAGTTGATCCCTGGTACCAAAAATAAAAAATAAAAATAAACACATAAATAAACAAACATGATTAACAACTGCTAACTCAGAGTTTTATCAAATTTGTGAATATACCTTTCCAAAATAATGAGGGAATTTGTGCTGATCTTCAATGACATGGGCAAATCCTCCCTGGAGGCCAAAGTCCACCGAGAAGTAAGGTAAGCCTCTGGGTACCTAAACAAACAGAAAAATTAACAGACACGTAAAATACAGCGTGGAATCAGAAAGTTATGCTTAATCCCTCTTCCTGCTTCCTGACATGATAATAATTAATCATCATTCAAGACAAATGTATATAAGGAATTTCCAATTCTAGAGATACTTAAGCATAGACCTAACTTTCTAAATAAATATTTCATTTTGATAGCATTTTAGTGAGAGAGCTCTTTATCATATCTGGCAATTACAATCAGAACCAATTATGTTTCTGTCCTTGGGGAAAACAGAAAAAAAAATCAAATATTTTCATATAACCACAGAATAATGTTCAAGACTGCACAAATGAAAAATAAGGATGTGTTTTTTGATATTTTGCTTACATCAAAGAATAGGAAAAGGGACCTGGGCATATACTTAAAGTTTCACTTGCAATATCCCTAATATCTTTATTATGATATACTTATCAAAGATAAAGAATAATGATAACTGTTTATTAACTGATGAGGTGGGTATAACAACTTAGTTTATCAACCTAATTTCAAAATGTCTCTAGGATTAATTCTCTATTACTCTGTATTGTTTTCTCCCCTCCCTCTTTACACACACACCCACACACCAAGTATTTTAAACTATATCTTGTGTAGAAAACTGGAAAAGGCCGTAATGTCTTGCTTTCTCTATCAATTAAGTAGACTTTGTGCCCTTCGAAATTATTCCCTGCAAGCCCCAATATTGTCACTGGAAATTATTCCAACTGGGTCAATTTATACTAATATTTTCCCCCTCTAATCCCTTTATACACAATCAACATTTACTTATTTGGGCTTCTGAACCACATATTCCTACTTAACTACATGAATTTTGTGTTGTATCCTCAGGAATCCACAATTTAGAAGGGCATAGTATGGTATGGTAGAAACAGCAGTCACCTTGAAACATTATAAAGCAAATATAAATAATATTAATAAAGAGTTATTCATAGTATAGGCAGAGCATGAATAAAAAATCAATTTACAAAATAGTATAAAACATAAAATGTAGAGAAATGAGTTGCTACTTAGAGGTTTTATATTTTTCTGTATCTCCACCTTCAATATGCACAACTTTGAAAATCAGAAAAAATTAAAGAGACAAACAATTCTCTAAATGTATCTGTAACTCATAAAGTGTATGACCTCAGGAAACTTATTTCACACCTAAGTCTCATGAAAAATATGAAGTGTCTGGAGGTTTGCTGTGAAGGTCAAACAGGACACTGTATATAAAAGGCCCAGCCCAACTATTAGCACATAGATTACTACTTTCATTTCTATTCCCCACACAAGCTTGCTCAATGGAAAACTTTTTGAAGATTCCATTAGAATATTTTTGACATCTGAACTAGATCACTAGGTGTAAAGCATGAATCCTTGAATGGCTAAAGAGATGTTCTGGAACTATATCTACTGAAGTATGGTACTTTGAGAGGGACAAATAACTTGAGAAGAAATATGTAATGACAGTATTATTGCCTTTTGTTTGTATCGTGCTGTGGTAAGTAGAATAATGGGCCCCTAAATATGTCAATGGCCTAGTCCCATATGGCAAGCACTCTACATACATGAATAAGTTAAGGATCTTGAAATGAGGAGGTGATCATAAGCTCAATTAATCACAAAGATTCTTGAAAAAGATAGGAGGCTGAGAATAAAAGAAAGGGAGATACTACACTCTCTACTTTGAAAATGAAAGAAGGGACCACAACCCATGGAATATGGGTAGCTTTTAGCAACTAGAGAAGGCAAAGGAATCAAATCTGCCATAGAGCCTCCAGAAGAACAAAGACTTGCTAACACACTGATTTTAGTACAATGAAACCCATCTCGTACTTGTAAACTCCAGAAATGTAAGATAATAAATGTTTTAAACCATTACATTTATGGTAATTTCTTACTTCAGCAATAAGAAACTAATATACATATAAAGACTCAACAACCTATGGCATATTTGCAAAGATGGCACTGAATACACAGTTACTTTCTTATGAAAGACAGCTGCTATCACAAGCTTGCAGAATACGAAAGGTAGAGCCTGCAGTACTGCTAGAAGAGTTGTTATATGCACAGCAAGGCTCTGCTATCAAACAGCATGTGGCACAGCTAGCACTTTCTTTTTACTCAACTGGCTACCATAGGGAAAAGTTGGAACTGTGGTACTACTTTAAAGGTAGTCACAGAATTACAGCAAAGAACATTTATTTCTGGTAGAAAAACAGTAATATCCTAATTTTTTCTTTGCATTCCTGCTATAACTCCTAACTTCCTGTAAGTAACCTTGAGTTCCAAGGGTTCTGGTAAATCCAAATTTTCCTTGAGAAGTATTTTCCTTAAATTAAAAAAAAAAATCAGTCTCTAAATGTTAGATTTTAGAAATTACTACAGTTTCCACATAATTAATTTTAACATTTTTAAAAGTTGTGAAAAATTCTCATGAAATCTCAATAAAACAGCCTTGTGAAAATGATCATTTTTTGGAAAGTTATTATCATGTAATTCCTCCACATTTGAACATTCAGATCTGCTTCCTTCATCTAATACCATGGGCTTCACACTACATTGTAAGAAATCAAAACACACAAAGAAAGTAAATAAAATAGACAGAAATGGGGAAGATTACATACATACAGCAAAGAAAAACATGAATTCAAAAAAAAATCAAAATTAATTGCAAATATGTGAATCTCTATTATAAGTGAAGAATCAGTGCAGTGAAAAAAAAAAACACCTCACCATACTCTCAATGAAGCAGGCAAAAAACTATGAAATTACTAAGGACATAAAGCTTTTAAAAGAAGAATAATGAGTCTCTTTCAGAAAATGTTAGAATAACTCAATTGTTCATTTCATGTTCAGAAACACACATCAGTTTTAAAAAGACACTAGAGAGCTTGTTAAACTAAAAAGTGACCTCCTTTGGAATTACTCTTACTTGGAGTTCTCTTCACAATTCCAGTCATATACAATAATTACAAAACCCTAAAGCTAAAAGGCACCTCAGGAGGTTACCTGGCTGTTTTTCTATCTATTGTGATTCGCAAATAGTCTCAAGTACAAGACTACATGTTGCCTTAGGAAAGGCAATGGTTCCTTATCTTTGAAATGTTTCAATGTTTAGCATACCACTGTCATTCATTTTTGAGAGAAACCCAAATTATAAATAAAGAGCAAAATAAAAAATAGATAATAGAAGTAGGGAGACAGATCTTTCTGATCAAGCACAAAGCTCAGCTGCTTCTCAAGGTCTCATAATATCCGAGAAAAAGACAATGAAAGTCACAACTCCATGAGGCCCAACAGAGGGAAGCCACCAGGCAAAGTAAGAAACTAAAGGGAAAGGGGGTGGGGGAATAAGAAATAAAAGAGCCAACAAGAGTTAAAATATCATGACAAGGATGAGTCAATACCTATCAATTATAACTACCAATGTTAATGGCCTCACTTCACCAATTGAAAGAAATACACTGACAGAATGGATTAAGAATCAAAATCCAGCAATATGCTGTATACAAGAAACACACCTAACTCAAAAATAAACTCATAGACTGAAAGTAAAAGGATGGAAAACAGTTCTCCACGCCACAGGAACCCAGAAAAAAGCAGGTGTAGCAATCTTATTTGCAGACAAAGTAGATTTCAAACCAAAACTAATTAAGAGAGACAAAGATGGTCACTACATCCTT